TTTGACCTACTACATAAACAAATAGTACTAAGTCTATTCCAATAATACTAAAAAAAATAAAAAAATAAAAAGATAAAAATAATAAAGGTGATAGTGGCCGAGAAAATAAATAGATGGACAACTAAATAAATGTGATGAAGTAAATGCTATCAACTACCATAACTAGATGCTCTTATTTAAACTAATAGGCAATCATCACAACTATCTTGTCACACATAAATAAGGTAGATATTGCATGTAAGAAAATCTTGTAAATAATTATATACACACGGTTAAAGAGAAAGGTATTTATGCAAAGAAAATAAAAATAAAACATAGTATTTAATACAAATTATCCTAGATACTAGGAAGTGACATTTTGGTGCATGTTGTACACATAGGCAAAAAAAAAAAATGTGACCGAAAAAAAAATGATACATAAAAAAATGAGCTTATAGTTAAATGAGATTTAGTGACTTAGCTCAGTTCGATCATGCCCATCTCGTGTCTCAATTTTGCAAACCTTGATTCGCACAAGGGCTTTGTGAGAATATCAGCTGTTTGATTTTCTGTTAGAATATATTCTATTCTCATATTCTTCTTTTCGATGTGATCACGGATAAAATGATGTCTCACGTCAACGTGCTTAGTTCTTGAATGTAGCACGGGATTTGGAATGATTGCGATAGCACTTGTATTATCACAAAATATGCTAACATCTTCGCAATTTACACCATAATCTTTTAATTGCTGCTTCATCCAAAGAATTTGTGCACAACAACTCCCAGCTGCTATATATTCAGCTTCAGCGGTGCTTGTAGCAATGGAGTTTTGCTTTTTGCTAAACCAAGATACCAATCTTCCCCCTAAGAACTGGCATGTCCCTGATGTACTTTTTCGATCGATTTTACATCCTGCAAAATCTGCATCTGAGAAACCAGTTAATGTAAAATTACCTTCTTTGGGATACCATAATCCCACATTGACTGTTCCTTTTAGGTATCGAATGATTTTCTTGGTGGCAAGAAAATGACTTTCTTTTGGCTTTGATTGGAACCTAGCACATACTCCCACTGAATAAGATATATCTGGTCGGCCTGTCCCTGCCGATTGCTGATGCTGAGTTTAAGCGACATTGTGGTCGTGGGGCTATTTGCCCCTGTCGATTGCTGATGTTGAGTCTCGGTCAGGCGAAGCTCGATCAAAACCAACTTCCGAAGTAGATTTAACCAAACTACTTAATATTTACATAAGTTGCGAGCCGATCGAGCCACCGTGTACAAACGGTCGAGCAATCATCGATCGGTGATACATCTTCATTCCCGTACGCAGACGGATACATATGTACATATTCTATAAACACAATCAAAGATGGACGTGCTCACTCACAGGTTGAGCCCCTACTCCATTCGAATTTACACGGTTACATCAATGCCTAAATAAGACTATGTTTTCTGAATTCCATGTACCCTCGATTACTCTTCCGGTCATTGTCTCCAACCGGTAAGTGCCCGGGCGAACTACGGCCGTGATAATATAAGAGCCTTCCTAATTCTGGGCCCATTTGCCTCCTTCCAATGGTTGGCTCGCCTCTCGACGTCGTAGTACATAGTCTCCAACTTGAAAATACCGTGGGTGAACCCGGACGTCTTTTGTGCTCTTGACCCTCTTATGGTACTCGGCAATGCGCCGAGCCGCAATTTTCTCTTCAACGTCGTCTAGATCCACGGCCATAGAGTGTTCATTCTCTTCCGCATTATAAGATCGCTCTCTGGCGGTCAAGATCCATGCTTCGATCGGTAACCGTGCTTCAGCGCCATAAACTAAAGCGAACGGCGTTTCCAACGTTGCCTCTCTAGGGGTCGTGCGATATGTCCAGATCACGTATCGGAGCTCGTCAGCCTAGCTACGACCGGCTGAGTGCAACTTTTTCTTCAAACCCTCCAAGATCGTTCGGTTAGTGTTCTCTACTTGACCATTGCCTTGCGGGTAAGCCCCCGACGATCGGATTGAGGTTATCCCGATCGTTGCCAAGAAATTTTGAAAATACTGGCTTACAAATTGCCGACCGTTGTCACTGATCAAATGAACTGGCACGCCGAATCAAGAAATAACATTCAGCCATAAAAACCTGGCGCACTGTTGAGAAGTGATCGTGGCTAAAGGCTCGGCCTCGATCCACTTAGAGAAATAGTCAATGGCCACAATGACAAAGCGCCTTCGACCGGATAACTACGGAAAAGGCCCCAAGATATCCACCCCCCAACGAGCGAACGGGATGGCGATCGTAACCGGTTGATAAAATGTTGCCGGTCGACCCGGCATCCGTGCGTATAACTGGCATGTTTCGCAACTCTTAGCGAGCTTTTCACAATCAAGCTGAATGGACGATCAGTAGTACCGATCACCATGATACGCCAGGCAAGTGATCAGCCTCCTTGATGAGATGAACATATGCCTGAGTGCAACTCGTTCATGACTAAATCAGCTTCAAAAGAATTCAAACATCTCTGCAAAGGACCCCCATACGACCGTCTATACCAGCGATCGTCTTGGACTTGGAATCTCGGAGCCCTTAACTTCGCCTTTCGAGCGCGTTGTGGATCATCCGGTAAACGACCATGTTGAAGATACTCCATTAAATCAGAGATCCATGTTTCCTCGGCCGGATGAATCGGCGCGACCGGCAAGCGGTGAATACTGTGTCTCGGAATCATTAGAATCCGAGTGATCTTCGACATATGCTTAGGGGCATCCTGCGCTAACTTGGATAAGATGTCTGCATCGGCATTATCCAATCGGGGAACATGACGGACAGTATACGCCCGGAACAAACTAAGCTTTTCCATGGCCAGATCTCGATAAGCTTGTAATCATTCTCCGTTGATTTCATAATCGCCCAAGACTTGCCAGACCACCAATGCAGAGTCGGTTTGCGCCCGGATGTATTCAGCCCCCAATTCTCGAACGCATTGCAAGCCATTGACAAACGCTTCATATTCGGCTTCATTATTGGTCGGGTTGAATTGATACGTCAGGGCATAGTAAACTTTGAAGCCCTCCGGGCTCGTTATCACAACTCCCCCGCCTGCTCCTTTCTTACTACTCGACCCATCAGTAGCCAAAGATCACCATGCCGCCTCGGGATCTTCCACTTCCGGAGGTCGTGTGTCCCGAGCGGTGCACTCGACCAAAAAATCGGCTAAAGCTTGGCCCTTGATAGCTGGTCTCGGTCGGTATTTAATAGCATACTGCGTTAACATCAACGCCCATTTGACCAGGCATCCGGAAGAAGAAGCGGTACGGAGAACTGCCCCGATTGGCTGATCGGTTAACACGTGAATGGCTTGACCTTGAAAATAAGGAGCCAACTTCTTTGCTGCTGTATACAAGGCATAGACTATCTTTTCCAGCCGGGAGTAACGGAGCTCGGGACCATGGAGCGCATGGCTCACATAGTAAACCGGTCACTACACCCCCTCCGAATCTGTTCGGCATAACACCGCACTGACAGCTCGATCGGAAACGGCTAAATAAACGTCTAGCTCTTCCCCGAGCTCGGGCTTTGACAAAACGATCGGTGACATCAGATACTCTTTCAGCTCATCAAATGCCGCTCGACACTCATCATCCCATACGAACCCATTGACCTTTCGCAATACCTTAAAGAACGGTAAAGCACGCTCCGCTAATTTTGAAAGAAATCGGCTCAGGGCTGCCAATCTCCTGGTCAGTTGTTGCACCTCCCGAACGGTCATGGGCGGCTGCATATCAAGAATTGCTTTGACCTTGGCGGGGTTGGGCTCGATTCCTCTTTTCGTCATCATGTAGCCAAGGAATTTTCCCGTTTGCACAGCAAACGTGCACTTGTTGGGATTCAATCGTAGCTGGTATTTCCGCATGATTTGAAAGCACTATCGGAGATCCCGAGTATGATCTGCTCGGTCCCGACTCCTCACCAGCATATCGTCGATATAAGATTCCAACGTTCGGCCTAGCAGGTCCTCAAAGAGCATATTGATCATCCGCTGATAATTCGCTCCTGCATTTCGGAGGCCAAACGGCATAACCCGGTAACAATACAACCCGTCAGGTGTGACAAAGGCCGTCTTACTCTAATCTTCATAGTTCATCATGATTTGATGATAACCCTTGAAAGCGTCCATAAAGCTCATCAGCTCAGCCCCGGCCGTTTCGTCATCCATCTGATGGATGCTCGGCAACGGGTAAGGATCTAGCGGGCATACTTTGTTCAAGTCGGTGAAGTCAATGCACATCCTCCAGGACGGAGGCTTTGGAACGAGTACAATGTTGGCCACCCACTCGGGATAAGTGACCGGGCGGATGTGCCCAATTGCAGCCATTTTCTTCACCTCCTCTCGAACGAACTCTCGGCGATCGGAGGATAAATGCCGGGTCTTCTGAATGACCTGTTTAGCCGCGGGATCTACAGCTAACTTGTGGCAGATTACAGTTCGATTAATCCCGGGCATATCTTCAGGCCCCCATGCAAATATATCAGCGAATTCCCAGAGGGTCGCCAACACTTCCAGTCGTAATTCAGGGGTGAGGGCCCGACCGATCTTTATCTTCCTCTCCGGTCGTTCCTCAGACAAAGGAACCTCCTCTATTTCCTCAGAGGGCTCGGGTTTTTCCTTCCGATCTTTGACGGCTTCCTTGACAATAGTGTTCACTCGGAAAGAACCGGCATCACGCCGATTGACGGCCCGGGAATAACATTTTCTCGCCGATTGCACGTCACCTCGCAAAACTCCGACACCGGCCGGGGTTGGGAACTTCATGCATAAGTGAGGCATTGATATGATTCCGCCGATCCTCATAATGGCCGGTCGGCCCAAGATAACATTGTGAACACAATGAAGGTTGACCACAACAAATTCTAACTCTGTCTGTACTGACTTTGGTGGGGTTCCAAGCTCAACCGGGAGCACGATCTTTCCCTCAGGGCGTATGGTAGCCCCGGTAAATCCTGACAAGGGTACACCGACCGGAATCAGCTCCTATTTGTCCAACTTTAACTTCTCAAACACGTCCAAATAAAGGACGTTCACACTGCTCCCGGTGTCCACCATTACTCTTTGGACATCGGTTCCCATAATATCAATCGTGACAACAAGGGCTTCCATCCCATTGTCTCCGCTTTTCGGCTGGTCTTCAAGAGAGAAGGTTATTGGTTCCATCTTTTGCCTCTTACCGGTTTCCTGGGAGTCAATGATCGCGACCGGGCAACTTTTCCGAGCCTGGGAAGCATCTTCCAAACCCCCAAATATAACATGGATGGTCGGTTTAGATGCTGATCGTCCACTTGACGGGGGATCGGGATCTCTTCGGTCTTGATCCGATCGGTCAGAACGATGATGAGACCGTCTATGATCTTTTCTTTCGCTCGGTTTTTTGTTCTCTTCTCTCTTGCCAACGCACTTATCCAACTTCCCCAACTGGAGTAAGTCTTCTAGCAGCTGTTTTAAATGTGTGCATTCCTCCGTGTCATGCCCGGCACATCGATGATAAGCGCAATGTTTCGACTTATCCTTCCCATCCGGCCCGGGATGAGGTAGACGAATAAGATTAGAGGACTGGGCGTATTGCATGGCCTCCGCCACAGATCGGTTTAAGGCCGTAAACTCTCCCGGCCGAGTTCGGGGTCGAGGATGATCTTCACCCGACCGATGATCCGCCCGACCAGAAGGCTTTCGGTACGACGTGCTAACCTCTTGCGACCTCTTGACGGCATTTGCCTCACCAGCGTTGGCATAATCCGTCACTCTACGGAGGGCTTCTTCATAAGTAGCCGGCGGATGGAGTATAAAATCCTGGTACAGATAACCAGCTCGAAGAGAAATGTGCAGCATGTGAATGGCTGTCAGGTCGTCCATTGGCTCGACCTCCCCGACCGCCGCCTTCCACTTGACTAGGAATTCGGTCAAGCTCTCTCCTTCCAGCTGCTTAGCTTTCTCAAGATACATGTAAGGCTTCCGGATAACTTTGGAAGTGACAAACTTCCGCATGAACTTGGTCGCCAAACTGACGGAATCAGCAATGGATCCCGGTTGCAAGGTCCTGAACCACTCGGCCGCTCGACCAGAAAGCGTCGAGTAGAAGGCTCGGCACATCACGGCGTCAGTCACGCGCATCATCATCATATTGCCATAGTAAGTGTTTACGTGCACCTCCGGGTCTGTCCGACTGTCATATTCTTTGTTTCCAGGGATTCGCAAATCAAGTGGGTAAGGTTGAGCCATGATCTCCGCCGTGAAGGGTGTCCGCAATAATGAAGCGGTATGATTGGGAGGAGGCCTTGAGGCATGCTCATTCTGCCAGCGAGTAAATTCCGTGCGGAGATTGTTTAACATTCCTCAGGTCTCGTCTTGATCGACCGTACGGGCTGGTTCCCGAGCCCGGCGTCGTCGATGTGCTTGAGGCCCGCTGTGTCCTGACGATCCCGATTGACTGGCCGCTCGCATGGGAGAATCAACCGAGCGCCTGTTTGGATCCTGTGGTCCCATTCTTTGCCTCATTGCTGGTCGGAGTCGCTCAAACGCAGTAGCTCGGTTAGTTTCTAACTCGGCCTCTTCAGCCGTCTGAACATGCGTTTCCTGCCGTGGTTCCTCCATGGCCTCAGCCTCCTGCGATCCTAACCTCGAGCGAGCCGAGCGCCTAGTCCGGGAACCGGGCTGATGCTCGGGCTCGGTCGGCATGGTCGGGTGGTTCGGGGGGACGGAAGCTGGAGCCGTGTACGCAGGCATGTAAGGTGGGTAACCGGCCGGTGGATAATACATTGGTGTTCCTGGCCAACACCCATATTGAGGAGGTGGAATGAGATATGGATAATTCGCCGGGAAAGGATATTGTTGCCCGGGCGTTGGATACACTGGTTGAATATAATTGACCGGGTTAGGAGCTGCCGATCGTGGAGGTGATAGGTTAAGGTTCAGGTCAATTGTCTGACCCTGGTGCTGCGTATAATTGTGGTCGGACGAGCTAGCTTCTCCATCCTCCGGTCCCTGATACTCCGTTGCTTGATACATGAACAGAAACATAGTGATGATCGGGAATCAGATACGGGTCTACGACGGCTTTTCGTATCGGGTTCCCCACGGACGACACCAAAATGATAGTACTAATTCCACGTGTTAAGCGGTCCAAGTACTTAAATGAGATCAAGTAATAACAAATAGAGGTATTTTATTGATCAAGAAGGACCTAATACAATCTAAGTGATTATCCCGAGGGCCGACTAACTGCGGTCGGGCAGCTCTGTAGATAATCTATCGATCGTCAAAAAGTCCCTTCTACTGTACACGACATGGGTATTTATAGCCGCTGGCCCGGAGACATACCTCCGGCCGGCCGGCATGTAACCCACGTAGCATCCACGCATTTTCACCCAGCTAGCCCTCTCTGTCAACGTGTAGCATTGTCACGCGTCTCTCCTCGAGATCCTTGACTCCTCGCCAGATAAGGCCCACCGAACGGGTGATAAAGACCGGTCGGGAAGTCTACCGATCGGGTCCGACCGGTTCTCCTTTAAGAATATCCGACCTGTAAAAACCTGCACAAAGAACAAGAGAAGCTGAGTGGTGTCGGTCAGGATATACCCTACCAACTGGTGTTGGAATTGGACTAGGAACTGGTGTTGGAACTGGACTCAGAACTGGAGGTGGAACTGGTGTTGGAACAGGTGTTGGAACTGGAGTTGGAACACCCACGGTCTGTAGCTGTGTAGACAAAGTAGACGACTTGCACAAAATACGGCGTGATTCAGAATTATGAGAATCAGAAGGTAAGCTGTTAGACGACTTTTGCAAATCATTATAAGGAAATACATGAGGCACAAATCTAACATGTCTAGATACATAAATACGATTTGAACTGTAGTCTAGACATTTATAACCTTGATTGGGTGTTTGAATAGCCAAGGAAAATACATGGACGTGACCTCGGTTGTAGTTTCTTGGTGTTATAGGGACGCAACCAGGGAAAGCACAGGCAACCAAAAGGTTGTAACTTATCATAGTTGGGTTTTTGTTTGAACAAAACTTGATAAGGATATTGATTACCTAATACCGGAGTTAGAAGTCGATTGATGAGATAGACGACAGCCTGAAACGCGTGAGACCAGTGCGAAGAAGGCAAAGAAGCAGCGTGAAGGAGTGACATTCCATTCTCGACGACATGCCTGTGTCGCCGTTCACCCATGCCATTGTGCTCAGGTGTATGTGGAGGAGTCAAAAAATGCGAAATGCCATGAGCATTGAGCATCGAAATTAATTTAATAAACTCCCCCCCCCCCCCCCCCCCCCCCCCCATTGTCAGAATAAACTGACACAATTGACAAACCAAAGAATTTCTCCACTAACCTTTTAAATTGAGGAAAAATCAAAGAAACATCAGACTTTCGTTTTATAGGATATAACCAGACATACCTAGAGGAGTGATCTACAAATATAACATAATAAGCAAAGTCATCAATAGATTTTTCCGTCGGACCCCATACATCAGTGTAGAGCAGTTGTAGAGGCCTAGTGCTAACAAGTGTGCTTTGGAAAAAAGGTAATTTATGACTTTTGTATACATTGCATGATTGCCAGGAAAACTTATTTAATGCTGACATAGATATGGGAACGTTGCAGTGTTGCAACACACTATGCAACACCTTATTAGACGGATGGCCTAGACAATGGTGCCACTGGGAAACGCGAGACAGCTGCATGGAATTGGATGTGCATTGACACATGAGAGGTGCATAATATACACCATTAATGTTCGCCCCCCGTAGTAATGACATCCCCGTTCGAAGATCCTTCAACAGAAAGTGGGAATCAAAGAATTCCACCGACACTTGATTAGTTTTGCACAATTGCGATATGGATATTAAATTATTATGCAACTGTGGAACACGTAGGACATTTTGGAGAGTGAGCAGGGAAGAAGGAGTGAGAATAGATGACTGACCAATGTGAGAGATGTTTAAAGAATTATCGTCGCCCAGTCGTATCCCATCAGGCCCATTATACTCGGTGAAAGTGTGCAGAGGAGTCATATCCGGTGTGGCATGGTGAGACGCCCCACTGTCAAACATCCCCGGCGTAGTCGATCCCACAATAGAATTAGTTGCAGGTGACTGAGACTGAGGAAATGTAGGAGCCTGCACGGGAAACATATTATGGGCCTTTAAAAACCGGGCTAACTTACGGCAAACACGAGTCTCATGGCCAGCAAGGTGACAGAATTGACACACAACACCAAGTCGAGTGTTGCTGTTGTGCGACCAATTCGGTCTATTATTGCCATACGTGTTGTTGGTGTTGTTGCGGGACCTCCGATCGGCAGTGGAGTGCTGATTATTTTGAGAAGCCGAAGGACCACGCTGGGAGGCATTAGTAGTAGCCAAAAGAGATTGGCGAGCATCATCGACTTCAGCCAACTGACGTTCATGATCCGTGAGCGCATCGGCTAATTCTCCCAAAGAAATGGGTTTGTCACGATTACGAACGCCAGATACGATGGAGTTGTACTCATCCCCTAGTTGTGTTAAAATATTACACAACCATGTCTTCATCAGAAATAGGGCATTGAGCCAGGGCGAGATCGTCAGCTATTGATCGCATGTCATTCAAAAATGCGGTGACTGACCGATTACCCTTCGGATTTCTGGTAAGCTTGGCCTTGAGGGAAAGGATCCGTCCTTGGGAGGCGCTAGCATAGTTAGCAACGAGCCGTTGCCAGGCATCACAAGCAGTGGATGCGAAAGCTATAAGAGGTTGTATGGTGTTTGAACAGCTCCCAAGTAAAGCACTGGTAATTATCTGATCTTGGCGATACTAAGTCAAATGTGCTGGATTCGGAGTTGTTTGTGCAGTATCATTGAATTTTGCTGGTTCTTTGACAGAACCATCGATGTATCCGAGGAGATTAAAGCCAATCAAGGTGGACTGAACTTAGCGTCTCCAGACAGGAAAGTTGAGGGGGGTGAGTTTGATAGGAAAATTAGACGGAGCATTGAGGTGAACAATGTCAGTGGTGGTGGTAGCCATGGATATAAGAATGGCGAAACAGAAGAGAAAAAAAACTCCTTTTGTGAAGGAATTAACTGCATCTTTATTGATGTAAAACACAACCTATATATAGTACATGGAGGAGTGTAGATAGTAGGAAGTTACAACCAAATATAACTAGTCTACAGGAGTACAAATAGAACAAGTAACAACTAAAGATATTCTAGCCACATATTGGCTTAACAGAGAGGTGGTTGTGGCGGTGACATCCCCACTAGTTTATTAGTTAAGATTGTTTATCCGCTTCTTAGTTTATTTTAATGTTGGTTTTAGAATTGTAATTAAGTTTAAGAAAAGTGGGGTGTTACAAGAATATACAGAATTTTTGTCATTAAAAATAGAAAAACAATCACAACAAATAGAAGAATTAAAAAGGGAAAATATTAAGTTAATAAATAATTCTAATAAAGAATGGATAGAGAAATATAAAAAATACAAACATAGTTATTATGATACCAAAAAAGAATTAAAAGAGACTAAACTAGAATTAAAACAAATGAAACAAGAAATTGATAATTTAAAAATAGAAATAGAAGAGTTACAAAATTCTATGAGAAAATTAAAAGGAAAAAAATAAGATAAGTGACACTAGTAGTATAGACATTTGTAGTGATGATAGTAGAAAAGAAATAGAAAGTAATAAAAAAGATTTAAAATTAGTAGGATATATAGAAGGTTTAGTAAATGTAGAAGAATAAGATTCCGAAATAGTTAAAGAAAATGATCAAATTATAGAAGTATTAAGAAAAAAGAAATCAGTAAATGCAATAATAGAGGAAGAACCAACAAGCGATATAGAAGAAGAATTAATTTGAAAGAAATAATAATATAGAAACATAAGCTGAAACAGAAGACATAATAAATGAAGATACTAATGACTATCATGAAGAAGAAATAGTAGACCCAAACTTAGAAATAATTAGTAGAAGAAAAACAAGACTACCAGACCACAAACCAATAGGACAACAATCTGAATTCAAAGACTTCGTAGGATCTATGAGTCAAGGAGTAAACTTAAATGGATACTTTTTGGATTTAGATAATGTATACGATGAACAATAAATTAATAGAAGAATACACCATTGGAACTTAGGAATGTTTATAGCACTAATGAACTCAAATTATACTTCAAATCTTGACTATGTTTATGATTTAATATCAAAAACTTTAATAGGAAAAGTAAGATTTTGGTTTGAAACTATAACAGTTCAATTTAGAGCATAAGCACCTAATTATGCTACAGATTGGAAATCCATGTTATCAATATTTGACATAGTATTAAAAAGAGAATTTTT